TTCCATGTTAAAAATACAATTCTACTTGATCATTTAAAATTACAATATAATCAGAATGCCATAAGGAGAAGAGAGACTAGAGCAGAGTGAATATCCAAAGTAATAATGGCTGAGAGTTTTCCAAAATTAGTAGCAGACATCAAACCTCAAATCCAGAAAGGTCAGAGAAGGCTAAGCAGGATAACTACCAAAATATCTACACTAGGCATATCATATTAAAACTGCAAAACACCAGAATCCAAGAGAAAATCTTGAAAGAAGACGGGGAAAAAATCTTACCTTACACAAGGATAAGAACTACAGTGGATTTTCTCATTAGCAACATGTAAACAAGAAGAGAGTGAAACAAAATATTTAAAGTGTTGAGGAAAAAAAAAAATCACCAATGTAGAATTCAATATCCAGAGACATTATCCTTCAAAAAGGATGAGAAGTACAGCTTTCTCAGACAAACAAAAACCGAGGGAATTCATTACCAACAGTCCTGCCTTGCAAGTAATAATACAAAAAGTTCTTCATGGGGAAGGAAAGTAACATAAGTCAGAAACTTGAATCTACATAAAGACAGGAGGGAAGACTGCGAAGGAACAAATGATGATAAAATAACATCTTTTGTTTTTCTTATTCTTGATTTAAAAGATAACTATTTGCTTAAATTTATAATAGTAACAGTGTATTGGGTGATGATAGCATACGGATGAGTGAAATGAATGGCAGCAATGCCATAAGGAAGTATGGGAGGAAGGGAATATTCTGCTATAAAACACCTGCACTACCCATAATGCAGTATAATGTTATCTGAAAGTGGACTTCCATTAGTTGTAAATTTATATTACTACAGGGTAACGACTAAAAAAAAAGTTTTTTAAAGCATAATTGACTTGTACAGATAGCAGACAGGCCCATGGTTGCCATACTGATATAAATAAATGTTTGAATAAATAAATAAATGGAGAGATGCTGGGAAAAGAACTGACACATGACCTGCTTATCTGGCACAGGATGGGAGTTAATTGAAGACTATGCTCTGTGCTCAAAGCAAGGAAGACCTCTTTGAAGCACCAGAATGTGGCCAGACTTGCTGGCTCTAGCTGCAACCTTTTCCCTATCTGTTTACTGATTGTATCTAAAGTCGAACATACTCTATACCTTCAAAGGAAATGCCAAACTGCCACAAGTATAGATCATCTGCTTGATGCTTTGCTTCTTTTTCACCCCCCACATCCCTGAGCACATGCTTCTTTGTTTAAACACTCAATAAATAGTGTGGGTCTCCAGTGCTCAGGGCCTTCGTATCCTCCTACTTGTGTTGGCCCCCTAGGAGCCTATCTTTATGCACTCTTACTCTTGCCTCTTAATTTCTTTGTCTTCGCAGACCCTCATTACTTCCTAGGTTGTGTCTGGGCTGGTCCCCAACAGAGAGAAGCCACAATCCTCCACAGAGATTTCCAAATAACGTATGTCGATTCTTCACCTCTAGGAGTGGTGCCTATCTTGCCATGTCGTAAGTGTGGACTACACATAGTGTCTTTTTCCCAAGGAATACAGTATGGGAAGGTAGAAAAAGAAAGTAACCATATAGTGGGGAAACTTGACAAACACTGCCTCAGTCAGGTGATGAAGGTGAACAGCAGCAGAGATAAGTCTTGTTATTAGTATGCAATTGTAGTGTGATGTGATGTGACTGGCACTTCATCTCTGTGACCTTCCTCCCCAAAAACCAAACCCCAGTCTGATAATGGGAAAAAACATCAAACAAATCACAAAAGAGGGGCATTCTACAGAACACCTAACCAGAGCCGGACATGATGGCTCACGCCTGTAATCCCAGCACTTTGGGAAACCAAGGCAGGTGGATCACTTGAAGCCAGGAGCTCGAGACCAGCCTGGCCAACATGCTGAAACCCATCTCTATCAAAAATACAAAAATTAGCAGGATGTAGTGGCACATCTGTAATCCCAGCTACTCGGAGGCTGAGGTAGGAGAAATGCTTGAACCCAGGAGGCGGAGTTTGCATTGAACTGATATTGCATCACTGCATGCCAGCCTGGGCAACAGAGTGAAACTCCATTGGAAAAAAAAAACAAAAGACCTAACCAGTACTCCTCAAAACTATTATGATCATTACATACAAGGGAAGTCTGAGAAAGCACCAAACCACAGGAGCCTAAGACAACATGAAACTGAACATAATGTGGAATCCTGGGTGGGGTCCCGGCACAGAAAAAGGAGAGCAGGTTAAAAACTAAAGAAGTGTGAATATAGACTTCAGTTAATAATAATATATCAATGGTGGCTCATTAATTGTAACAAATATGCCATGCTAACATAGGACATGAATAACAGGGGAAGCTGCATATAGGGTATGCTAACTGTGAAATGATTCCTTCATCTAAAATTGTTACCAAAAAATTAAGATTATTCTTTTTAAAACTACTGACAATATCAAAAAACTACTTATTTACTGCAGAAAAATATGTAATTAACAAATTATGACTATTAAGCAATCAATATCAAATTCCATGTGCCTTTTCCCCAGACAATAAATTATTTATTACATGGAAATATGTAACATGGCAAAGAACCAATTTTCTTCTAAAAACTATGCTTGTTTGCTGTTTTCCTAACAGAGAGAAAATTGTCACTTAGTACCCTTAATGAGGGCAGAATGTGATATTGGATATTACCATTGCACTGACTTAAATGGGGTAATAAGACCTGCAATTGGAACACTCTGGGTCCCCAGGAAACTTAATCAAAAGGGTTAGATATTGGCCAGGTGCAGTTGCTCACACCTGTAATCCCAGCACTTTGGGAAGCCAAGGCGGGAGGATCACAGGAGCCCAAGCATTCCTTCGAGCCTGCAGTGAGCCAATATCTCACCACTGCACTCCAGCCTGGGTGACAAAGCAAAGCTCTGTCTCTAAAAAAAGCAACAACAACAAAAACCCACAAAAGGGTTAGATATTGAATTAGCTATCCCCCTTCCAAAACAAAACAAAACTGGTTCTTAGGTGCAAACAAACCTAACTCTGCCCTTGGCTAAAATGCAGTAAATCTCTCCAGCTTATGGGTGTGGGAGAGCTCAGAGAGTGAAGAACACTACTTTGGGCAGTGGATAGCCCAGGTAATAGCTGGATATTCCTGTGCACTGAATTTTGCTGGTCTTTACATCTTGGTTTCCTGAAACATCCATCTGCTTAATTAAAGAATCAGCCTAGCCTAGTGAGGCAAAGCACACCAAATCTGGCAGGTCCTAAAATAATGCTGCTGCTGCTGCTGTTACTGATCCTGACCCATAGCAACAGCTGGAATTTATGGAAGTCTTCATATGTACCATGCACTGCTCTCAGTATTTTAAATGTACTTTTTCAGAGCATGATGCTAACAGTATAGACTGTCTTGCTGGGATCAAAAGCCAGCTGTGTGACCTTGATCAAGGGACTTGCTTCTCTGTGCCTCAGCTTCCTCATCTGTAAAATTCAGATATTAACAGTCCTCTTGTAAGGATTAAATGACTTACTATATGAAACGAATAGATATTTTTATACATAGTAATACATAGACCTGGCACACAGTAAATATGCTGTTTGGGTTTGTTTTTGTTTTTTTTTTGAGATAAGGTCTCACACTCTGTTGCCCAGGTTGGAGCACAGTGGCACAATCATAGCTCACTGCAGCCTCGAATTCCTGGGCTCAAGTGATCCTCCTACCTCAGCCTTCTTAGTTTCTGGGACTATAGGTGCTGTCTCACCCAGCTATTTTATTTTTAATTTTTTGTGGAGACAAGCAAGCACTATGTTGCTTAGGTTGGTCTCAAACTTCTGGGCTCAGGCAATCCTTCTAGCCTCCCAAAGTGCTGGGATTACAGGGGTGAGCCACTGTGCCTGGCTACTACTGTTATTAATGCTCACATCAATTCAATGAGGTATGCATATTATTAACCCCACTGAAATTGAGGAAATGGGGTACAGAGAGATAAAATAACTTGCTCAGGGCCACATCCCTAGCTTGGATCCGAAGCCATGAAGTCAAGTTCCAGAGTCCACATTTCTAGCCTACAGGCTACCACTATTTTTTGGAAAAGCAGTCAATGAAGAACAGGCTTTGGAGTATGGCAGAAAAGAAAATGCAAAAAAGGGAGGGGACTAGGAAAAGGAGCTAGTGTTGATGGAAAGATGGGACTTCCATGTGGGAATCACAGACGGAAATGCTAGGAAAAAGGTCAGGCCTGAGGACAGATTTGGGGAAGGTATTTAGAAAGCTGAGGGTTAAAGTAATGAAAATGGATCTCAAATGGAGAAAGAACAACAAAAAAGAGCCCAGGTAAGGAGGCTAAGCTAGCAGAGAAAAAAGAAAAGAATCAGAGAAGGAAATAGAGGCATCAATTAGACAGCTGAGAGGGACATTTGGACAGCTTAACATCCTTGCTGCGCTGGAGGGAAAAGGCCCCAGGCCTGCATCCTCCCCAGCGCTGGGCTTCAAAGCCCAAGTCACACTGAACTTCTTCTGGAATGCCCTTAGTTTTCTCTAACCACCAATATCAGTCTTGGCATCCAGTATCAACTCAGAATGCCCCCACTTCTGGGCCATTTCCCCTGAACATTTAATCATGTTTCCTAAGATCAATACCACGAGCTCCCCAAAGATGAAAATGACAGCTTTCCTCTTTCTATCCCCCACGTGCTCCACAGCATCCTGTACACAGTAGTCAATAATGCTTGTGGAGGGTGTCTTCTGGGCCTTCCCATCTTTGCCCCAAGTGTGACTATATCCTCTGTGAAGTCAAAGACTGCTTCATACCCCATTCTCCCCACCAAGCACCAATACTGGAGCTGCCTCCAATATTGATCTCAAAGTGAGTGGGGCGAATGAAGAGTAGTCTGGGGATAGAAGAGGCGCATTCCTCAGCAGGCCCATGCTAAGTCCGACGCTGGGAAAAACTTTTAAGGTTCCAGATTCTTCACTGTTTTAGATGGACCGAAAAGTACCTTTCCAGGACAAAGTCTGGAAACATGCCTGCCATCTCTGAATCCAGAAGCCAACTGATGAGAAAGACAAACTTCATCACTCTCACCTGAGCGGGCAGCAGATCCACAGCCATCCCTTCCTCCTCAGTCTTCCTATCCAGGGAGAGCAGAGTGTGGACAAGGTGGGTCTGCAGAGGAAAAGGCGTCAAGAGGAATTCTGGCGTCAGGAGAAGGCTTGGAGAGGAAGTTACAACAGCTCATAATGTCCATCAGGCCACCCCACTTAATGATACAAACCAAGAAGAGTGTTTACTAGGGCAACTTGCGAACCTCTATCCCTTCTCTGTATTAACCATGCTTCTATTTCTGTACATTGATGCTTTAACATCCACCTTAGGGCCTCTCAGCTACCTCTAAGCAAACTGTAACTCACCCAAGGATGTCTGGAGTCCTTAGCTAGCTTTAAACGGTAGGCCCTAACAGTTGCAATGAATATCCGGTTTCCTGAGGGTGCCACTTTCCGGCCTAGCTAGCTGATCCTAAGCCTGCCTGCCCTGCCTCGCTTTTTCCTCCCTGTGAAAGCTACGATAAAGAGGCCTCCCCGCATCCGCACCCTCGTGACAGACTCCACTGCTTGCCCTGAGTGGCTCTTCCGTGGAGTGCTGTGTTCTCCCCAAGAAACTGTGAGCATAATCCAACCACTAAGCTTTCCCAGACTCTTACTAGTTCTCCGTCGGGCCTTACCACACTTTACCCAAGGTAACAGGATTAACACACTGTCCCCACCCAAGACACATGCCAGCGTGTTGCTCTCCCTCCTAAATAATACTCCACGGGTGCCGCCTCAAATGGCATCCACAGCCGGAAACAGCCATCGCTCCCCGACACACACCCAAGGGAGAGGAGTGGGAACCCTGCCTGTCCCACGGAGAGTAAGGGAAGAGGCTGCCTGGGGCAGCCAGGGAAGTGTCAGCGTCTCCAGGCCTGCGTCTACAGCGACTCCTCAGGGTGCCCCGTGGCATGGAGACAAACTGCGGCTCTGCCAGGACAGCTCCAGCGGACGCCTTGGCCAGCCCAGGAGAAGCTGCCATGCAAGGCCTCGGTTACTCGGCGACGCGCACCTCTTCCTAGGAAGCGTTGAGTGCTTTCCAAGTAGCATTTTTCATCTTCACATTTACAGATGTGACCAAGACTGAGAACTAGGGGGTCGTGACCTGCCCAAAGTCACCAAAACGGAAAGTAGTAGAGCCAGGAAGGGAATCCTGATCCAAGCCCCAGGCCCCAGTTACACTGGGCAATGACCTCGCCACTCTACCTTGGTTTCCTCCTGGGAGAGCGGAAGCCAGCGTACCGCCACCCTAACTGTTTAGCAGGGATGCGCGGAGTTCGTTCAGGCGAGGCGCTAGCCAAGTGTCTGGCACCCGAGCGCTCTCGGCGGGTATCAGCTGCTGCTTTTATTATTTCCGTTATCGAGAAGAAAATGCACAGAAGAAAATCGCAGAATGAACAATGACAAAAGGCTGGCATCCCCACCCCAGCGGCCCGGCGCACCCAGCTCACCTAGTGGGGCGCTCCCTCCCGCGGGTCTCCAGCTGCCCAGGCCGCTGGCGGACGGCGCCCCGGGACCCCGTGGCAAAGCGCGCAGAGCCGCGCAGGGCCGATCCCAGATGCCCCGACGAGGCTGCACGCCACCCACTCGTTGAAGAGGCGCGGATGCACCCCGGCGGAGAAGAGACAACTGAGAGCGCCTCAACCCCGGGCCGGAAATCCTAGCCAAGCCGGGATGGCCACAACCAGGAGAACCCCAGAAAGGCCGCGAGCTATCCCCGAAACCCCGCCAACCCCGGGAGAACTACCACTCCCGACATGCCTCGACCCCGTGCCGACTACACTTCCCAGGGGGCGCAGCGGTGAGCCCGGCTACTTCCGGGAGAGGAACCGCCTCCACCAGCAGTAGCTTTCAAGGGCGACAGTTCGCGTGGGGTTGCGGTGCGAGGCAGTGCGCACGCCGCACACGAGGCAGGAGGTCTCCCGCTGCTGGCCGTGCTGCCTACAGCCCGCGCACTTGCTAGGTAAGCAGAATGGTTTGAAAAAACAAAACCCGAAATTAGATGCATTTAGGAGGATCAGTGTGCTGTAGCTCCCACGTCTGGTTGTGATTATTTTTCTCTCATTTGTTGATACGAAATAATTTACATAATTTATAGGGTCCATGTGCTTGTTACGTGCATAGACTGTGTAATGATCAAGTCACAGTATTTGGGGTGCCCATCACCTTAAGCATTTATCATTTTTATGCGTTGGTATCATTTCAAGCCCTCTCCTCTATTTACTTTGAAATATACATAATGTTATTGCTAAGTATACTCACCCTAGTCAGCTATTAAACATTAGAACTTATTAATTCCATCTAACTGTATGTTTGTACCCATAACCAACCTCTCCTCATGACCCTTACTTTCCTTCCTTCCTGACCTTTGGTATCTATCCTTCTATTGTCTGTGTCCATGAGATCACGTTTTTTAACTCCGGAGTATAAGTGAGAACATGCAGTACTTATCTTTCTGTGCCTGGCTTATTTCACTTAACGTAATGACTTCCAGTTCCATCCATGTTTCTGTAAATGCATTATTTCATTCATTTTTATGGCTGAGTAATATTCTATTATGTCTATGTAACACATTTTTCTTTATCCATTCATCTATTGCTGGACACTTAGATTGAGTCCATATCTTGACTATTGTGATAGTGCAGTGACAAACATGAGTGCAGGTATCCTTTTCATATACTGATTTCTTTCCCTTTGGATAGATAACCAGTAGTAGGGTTGCTGGATTGTATGGTAGTTCCATTTTCAGTTTTTTGAAAAAAATCTCCCCACTCTTTTCCATAGTGGTTGTACTAATTTACATTCCCACCAACAGTGTGTAAGAGTTCCCTTTTCCCCAAATCCTCACCGGCATCTGTCATTTTTTGTCTTTTTAATAATAGTCATTCTAACTGGAGTGAGCTTATATTTAATTACAGGGTGTTAGTAACCAAAACAGCTTGATGTTGGTATAAAAATAGACACACACACCCATGGAACAGAATAGAGAACTCAGAAATCACTGTACCCACTTATAACCAACTGATTTTCAACAAAGGTGCCAAGAACACACACTGAGGAAACTATGTCTTTAATAAATGGTTCTGGGGAAAACTGGATAACAATATGCAGAAGAATGAAATTGGACCCCTTCTCTCTTAACATATATGAAAGTCAACTCCAGAGAGATTATAGACTTAAACATAAGACCCCAAACTATAAAACTGATAAAGGAAACATAAGGTCATTTCTTCAGGACATTGGTCTAGGCAAAGATTTTTCTTTTTGTTGCCTTTTTTCTTTTTGTTTTTGTTGTTTCTTTTTGTTTTAAGGTCTATGGCTAAGACCGCAAAAGCACGGACAACAAAAAGAAAAATAGACAAACACAACTATATTGAACTAAAAAGTGCACAGAAAAAGAAACAATCAATAGAATGAAGTGACAACTTCTTGAGAGAAAATATTTGCAAATTACTCACTCAACAAGGGACTAATACCAGTATATACAAAGAATTCAAATAACTCAACAGGTTCGTGACCAGCTGGGCCAATGTGACAAAACCCCATCTCTACTAAAAATATAAAAATTAGCCAGCTGTGTGGTACATGCCTGAAATCCCAGCTACATGGGAGGCTGAAGCGGAATTGCTTGAACCTGGGAGATGAAGTTTGCTGTGAGCCAGATTGTGCCACTGCACTCCAGCTAGGTGACAGAGTGAGACATCTCAAAAAACAAAAAACAAAAAAACCCAACACCAAAACAACTCAACAGTGTACAAACAAATAATTCCATTAAAAATGTACAAAGGGCTGGGCACAGTGGCTCATGCCTGTAATCCCAGCACTTTGAGAGGCAGAAGTGGGTGGATCACTCGTGCCCAGGAGTTTGAGACCAGCTTCAGCAACATAGTGAGATCTTCAAACGAAATTAGCCAGGCTTGCCAGTACAGGCCTGTAGTCCCAGCTACTCAAGAGGCTGAATGCAGAGGATTGCTTGAGCCCAGAGGTTGACACTGCAGTGAGCAGTTATCGCACTGCTGCACCCCAGCCAGGGTGACAGAGTGAGACTCTGCCTCAAAAAAAAAAAAAAAAAATAGGCAAAGGACATGAATAGACATTTCTCAAAAAGACATTCAAATGACCAACAGGTATATGAAAAAATGTTCAACATTACTAATCATCAGGGAAATGCAAATCAAAACCACAAGATAGTTATGTTATTTTAAATTAAATTATTTTAATATGTACCATACACAGAAGATAATGTATGCATAGGCACAGTTTAATAATAATAAAACAAATACCCATATCCAACACTTCGGTTACAAAAGAGAAATTTACCCAAAATTTGGAATCCTTGTTCACAGTACTCCCAAGTCATTTTCCTGAGTTGCTTTCAACATTCCTTTATTTTATTTGATAATTACTCCACATGCATGTGTCCCTAAATATTGTTTACTTTTGCAACATTTTAAATATTTATATAAAGACAATCTGTTATATACATACAATATACAATATGTATGTATATAAAGGTAATCTGCTATATACATACATATACAATTGTGTATTTTCAATTGTATATTGTATTCAACTTTCATACAATATACAATATGTATGTATATAGCTGATTCTCTTTACATAAAAATTTATATACGTATCTATATACACCTATCTGTATATATATGCATATATATCATGCGTATATATATGCATATATGTATCGTGTATATATATATATTGTTCTATGACTTATGTGTTCAACACAAACATTTTTAGATTAGTCTACCTTGATACATGCAAAGTTCATTCATTTTCATTGCTGTGTAGGATTTCATTATTTATTCAACAACAAAAATATATTGAACACTTATCCTGTGCCTGGCATTGAGCTAGATGCTAGAAATACACCAGTGGCCAAAACTGGCAAAACCTGTATACAAATGCAGCTTGAATTCTGCTGGAGGAGAGGGAAGAAAGATAATAAGAGAATAAATATGTTTTGAGCTAGAGATGAGTGTGAATGTATTCAAAATACTTCACTCCAAAATATACTTCCCTGACATATCTTGAGATGGCTATTCAGAGAGCTAGCAGACAGGAATAGCCTTGAAAAGCTGTCTTTTGTGGAGGAGACTTGCATCTGTAGTGGAAATGAAGTGACATAAATAACAGATGTGAATAGGCTTTCTCTGAGGCTCTCCTTTGTCCAGATCTGGGAAAGATTAACTGGGAGTCTGACACCTTTGAAAGTTTGGCGCAGAAACTTTAACCATGGGCTACCATCTATCCTTAGGCAGCTACCTGTGCAGCTTCATCTGCATAATAAGACTGCCTTTTCTTCAGGTCTTTCCTCTTCTCTCCCTCATATAACCTGTCTTAGCCATGATGCAAGCCCCTGTTCTTCCTATAACTTCAAGATGGCATAAAAACATCTATCTTGCCTTTCTTTTTCTATATTTTTTATCACTCCTGTGCTTATATTCACTTTAATAAAATTTGTATGCCTTGTTTTCCTGTTAAGCTGTGTATCAGTTGTTTCATAGACTCAAATTATCAAAACTTCGGGAGGAAAATTTAAACTTCCCTATAAGTGCAAATAAGAATTTAAAAAGGGAACAGGAACTTGGAGGGTGAAAGAGTTTGTAATTTTACACAAAGTGGTTGAGAAACATTTCATTGAGAAATGTTTCTTTGAAGAAAGACCTGCAGAAGATGAGGGATGAGCCAAGTTAAGTATCTGTGGGTGAAGCAGGAGCAGCAGGGAACAAATCTCTTGAACACCGGAACTGTGGAAGGAAGTGGCTTTTTATTCAGCTGGGAGCTGCGGGGGGTCTACAGCCTTATTCACCGAGCTCCCCGAGCTGCAGCTTCTCTCGCCTTTTATAGGCTTACAATGCTAAAGGGGAAACAATGCAAAAATACGTCATTGTTAATTTGCTGAATGACCTTACAATGTTTTGTCTTCATTGATTTGCTAATTCATATGCAGTGTGAGCAGGAACCAGCAGGGGAGGGGGGCTTACAGAGATAAGACAAAAGCAACAAGCTGCTTGTTGGCAGAGGTGTTTCCAGGATGGAGCCTGGTCTGTGGAGACTCGGGGGTGTGAACTAGTGCTAGGCTCTCACAATTGTTGAAAGGTGCAAACAATCCAAATGTCAACCAGTGAATGAATAAACAAAATATGGTATATACATAAAATAAATATTATTCAGACTTAAGAAGGAAATTCTGACATAGGCTGTAACATGAATGAAGCTTGAAGACATATGGTATATGAAATAAACCAAATATAAAAGAACAAATATTGTATTATTCCACTTATAAGAAATACCTAGAGTAATACAATTCATAAAGACAGAAGGCAGCATAGAAGGTACTAGGGTCTGGGAAGGAAGAAATGAGGAGTTACTGCTTAATGGGTACAGAGTTTCTGTATGAGATAATGAAAAAAATCTGGAAATAGATTGCACATTTAAAAATGGATGAAAGGGTAAATTTGATGTGTATTTTATCACTTTCTATTTTGATAAAGTACACACAGAATGTGAGGAGGCAGCACGGGAAGGTCATGGCTCCAGTAAAGTGCTAACAGAAAGGTAGAAGTAGGGAATCCATACATCAGACAGACAAGCAGCAAGAGGAAGAAATGTAAGATCCCAGAAGAAAAACAGAATACCTCTAATTCCCACCTCCCCCACAACTCCCACGTCATCTAGCCAAGAAATCATACTTTACTTACACTGA